CTTTTGGTACAGGAGCAGAAAGGGCTTTCATTGATTTAAGAAAAAACCGAATCGGCCGTCCCGCCTAATTAAAGTCGCAAACACTGGTATCGAATCGCCATTAACAAGAACTATTGGCTATCGGCTTTATCGTGGCCAACAAACAGGGCCGACAAGTCGATGCCTACTAAAACTTAACATCTGGTTGAAATTAACTGAACCTAACGACCCCAGAAATAATTAATTGTTGGTGTTTTTTATTCTAATTGGGTAGTGGGAAACCGTCAATTAAAAAAATGAAAAACAAATATGTTTAAATTAATAAAATAAATATAGCAATTAAGTTTATTCTTAATTTATTTTTATCTTAAGATGACGCAGAAGTACGGCAAAGACTCTTCAGTGACAGCTCTTTTGGATAAGATGGATTTCATAATATTGCCTGTTTTAAACGTTGATGGATATGCCTACACATGGATAGATCCGGTAGGTCACGGCAGCGTAGTTCAAAAATCCGCCATCTTTCCCGTGTACGTTTTTCTTTTTTTTTTAATAATTTCTCGTTGGAGTCGAAGGGGCGGCGGCCCGATGGTTAGTGTGCCGGACTCTAGACCGAGTACTCTAAGGTAACGTTCATCTCGTTGGAGAGCTGAAGACATTATGTCGTGTCCTCTACTCTGGCTTACGTTGCCTCTAGCTCTTTATATACACCGAGATAAATGGTGTCGACCAATTTAATGCAGGGTGGGGTGGGGATGAGGACAACACTGCGTTGGACTGTAACATTTTAATTACGGGAGGGTAGAGATACGCGAGATACTCCTAGTCGCCCAGAAACCGAGACAGGCTTCGACGAAGTGCACCACATGGGCCGATGCAGAATTTACTTCTTGGTCAAAACTCTTTCTAACTCGAATACACGAAGGGACTAGTCGCAGTGAAATCATACGGGAAATAGTCACGAGGCCACATTAAGTTAAAATGTGATATCGTCCCCGTTTAGTGTCAGTTGTTTGTGTGACAAGGCCCAGTGCAGTACTGTGAAAACTGAAAAACCAACAGTCACAATGAAGACCGCTTTTACTGCAACAAGTTATTGTATCTGCGTTATTTTTCAGGCCCTAAGATTAGACCAAAAATTTCGGTTTTCAATTTCCNCTAATAGGGGTTCTTTTCAAAATTCCGACGAGCACCCCGCCCTTTTGACATGGGAGTACCCCCCCTCCCCTCCCCGGGCGTTGAACTACAAGAATAAGGAAAAGGAAACCTAGGTCCTAAGAGACACTTCTTAGATAGGGAGTTTTGTGTTCAGCAATTTTATAATATTTCAGAGATGGAGTAAATATCGACTGTGGAGGAAGAACCGTCGAAAGCATGACAGATATGGCTGTCATGGCGTGGATTTGAATCGAAACTGGGGCTATGGCTGGGGAGGTAAGGTTTTTATCCAGCTAGTTAATAATTACAACTTATGGACTTTTGTCTTGACTGAAATCGATGTATAATGAATCAAATTTATAGTAGACTTTTCATCACATTTTCCGTCATTTCAGCTCGGGTAGTTACGAGAAAGTCGCTTGGGCCATTCACGCATCGCGCGATTAACATCCGCGGAAGAACTGGGAACCATGTCTAAAAATGACTTAGACGGGTTACCTTGGGTATAAGGCCTATATGGGGATTCACTCTCTTACCTTGATCTTCTCTTTATTTAAAACTATTACAGTTAAGCTTTTTTAAGGGAATGTAGGGTGGGAATGATAGGGGTTTTGTAAGGTTTGTTTATTTTTCTGTACTTGTGTGAAGTTTGTAAACGACCGCAGCTTTTTAATTCAATGCACAGGTGCTGGGGCTAGCACATATCCTTGTGATACCACATACAGGGGCTCGACAAAATTTTCTGAAGTGGAAACTGTTAACGTCCGTAATTTTCTGAGCGATCTTAACAGTGAAGGGAAGTTGAAAGGTTTTATTGATTTCCACGCCTACAGTCAAATGTGGTTCATTCCTTGGGGATACACGAGTCTTCGAACCAATGACTATAATGAACAGGTTTTCAATTTTCGATGTTATTGTCATTTTTTTGTTGTTGCTGTTGTTGTTGTTGTTGTTGTTGTT